GTATTTCGTTGTTAGATATTCTCTTTTATTATAGTTTTACTGTAATCTTTATAAATAAAAATATTAAAATTGTGTGTGTATGTGTGTGTGATTATAATAATTTTTATAGTTAAATAATCCTTTAGTTTAGACATTGACTTTAATTCTGATATCGATCTGTTCTTTTAAAGAAGAGAATAAACTGTAATTAAATTAATTAGTGATGGAATTACATTTTTTAATTTATCAAATCCAATGGCTTAGATATTTTTAATATATCAAATCCAATAGCTTAGATATTTTTAATATATAATTGCTTTTACGTGTGATTTTTCACATATACATGCATTATTTCTTTTATATAAAAGAACTTGAAAATTTTGAATATACTATCTAACAGAGTAGATGCGTTGTCAAGAATAAATTTTTAGATTTCTTTATAAATTTGAAATTGCATTTTGGTCAAAGATTGATGTAATAATAATTAAAAAACACAAATTTTTGGATTAAAAAAATTTTGATCATAATTATATTATTAAACAAAGATCGTAATATTATAAAAACGTAATATTATAAATTATATTAAAATAGTATTAAAAACACAAATTGAACAGTTGGTAATCTAGCGATAATAAGTCTTAGTCTGTGCTCTCGTCTTTAAGCCTTAAATTTTAAGACAAAAACGAATGAATGGAACACATCAAATAAATGCTGTGAGGTGCCAGAGTGACATTTGAATGGAATGGTAGATCTTTTATGTTCTGTCTGGAACTCGACACCTGAAAATCGTTCTCAAAAATTCGTTCTACGCGAAATTTCCAACGTTAAATGATAATATAATGCACTATGTTAAAGCTATATGTTTTGTGAAATCAAAATATGTTACACATAGAGTGTGTATGCGTGTGTGTTGTAACTTTTATTATACAATTAAACATTTAAACTAATATAAGTACAATTTTTATAATTTAATATATTTGTATAATTTAATATACATATAATTAAATTTTTCAAAATACTATATAAAACAAACATTAAACAATGCTCATTTGTATGAAATATGTAATGAAAAAAAGAAATTAATGAATTCTTGAAAAAAGAATTCTCTATGTGTATAAATATATACAAATCTTTTTCTTATATATGAATATATTCAATATATATTTATTATTTTTGTAAATTTATTCTGTGTACTTTTTATTCGATAATTAAAGGCCAATATTGTATTTACAGTATAATTTCACGTACAACATGTATAAACACATACATACAGAAGCAAGATAATATATTTACGTAAATAGTATTATATATGTGTATGTAATAGTAATAGAATTCTAATTTTTAATTTTATATGTTTATCTTTTATTAATTATTAAAATAATAATTTAGTTTTATTTCTTTACTTTTCCATAAACTATAATTTAGAAAATTATAATTTAATTGTTATAATAAATAAGTAAAATATAATATTTAATGTTTAGGAATATTATTATAGTATATATACATATATGCTTCAACAATATTTCAGTGTTATGTTTAAAATATTAATATAACTTAAAAACAGGTTGAGAACAGTTGTATGACGGACGGCCAGTTTTGTCGATGGTCTTTGTATTTTGGTGAGACATTGCACAGGCCTGCCTAACACTCAACTCATTATACCACTAATTATTTATAACGTTGGAAATTATTCTGACGAAAATAAATCAATTCCCACAGCGTGTTCTCGTTTTTTTTATCCTCTCTCTTTCTACTTCTTTTCTTATTTCTAACATCATGAAAGCATGCTTCTCTTTTCAAGAGAAGCTGTTTACACTATCTTCGCGTTATTATCAGTATTACATTACGTGTTATTTATTATTTTATTAATGATATTAGAATATAAATATATATTATATCATAACTTGATTTAGAACGTCTTATGATGTTGTTCGACACTTAATTTCTATATGCTTTTCTATTTTTCTATTCCTTTTTTAAAAGATTTCTGATATTTATAGTTTCTTTTGCACCTTGCTTTAGGTTTTCTCTCTTTCGACACTCAACTACAAATAATAATTTCATTACTTTTATAAATAGTTTACTTTTTGATATATCCGTCTTATTTATTTAGTTCCTTCATGAAATTCTTATCGATTTTTTGATATATAATATCTATGTCCACAATTTATAGTTCTGTCTTCCATTTTTTGTTAATTGCTACGTTTGTTCTGTATATAGAATAAATTATTTTTTATTATAGTTTTGCAGATGTTACATTTATATTTTTTTTTATAATACTTGTGTATCTAAAGCAATTGTTGAGACAAACGATGATTTTCTTTTTGCTTGAATAATTCTTTTCTCTATTTTCTTGTTATCCATTTTGATTGTGTCAAAAAAAACTTCCAAGTAGGTGTACTTCTGATATTGTGAGATTTCTAAATTGCTTCTAGATAAAGATTGCTTGATTTTTCTCTAATATAAAGATATTTAGTTATCTCAGTATTAACTTTTAATTCCCCCCCTTTTTTATCAATTTGTGCATAATAAAAAACAACGTAGATTTAAGAAAATAGACAAAATACAGTAATCTTGCCTAAGGCTTTTATTTACTGAGATTTCTTTAATAAAAAGCTTATCAATCTTAATTCTCGATGTCATATTGTTATAAAAATTCTTCAATGCATGAATAAGTGTATAATTTATATTTAATTCTTCCAAAACTTGCCAGAATTTTATTATTAATATTGTATCGTATATCTTTTACAAATCTTTAAATGTAAATCTATTAATCTGTGAACGTCTCTATTTATTGCTATTTTCTTTTCAATAATTTGCGAGACAAAATACGTCGCCTATGCAGGATCGCTTGCTTTATTCTCCTGGATTTTCTTTTCAATCAGATACCTTAACATTCTACGATATAATTTCATTATGCTTGCGTAACATATATTCTGTTATAATAGATAGCATATTTGTTATACAGGCTGTTTTCTATTCTTCCGAAAAAAGATGCTTATTGATGCACAATTAATTAAAGACGTAGGTTATCATTTTAACTAATTTTGAAATTCTTTTAACATCTCCGCACAGATGCCTTCAAGTCCATTGGCCTATTTATTTTTAAGACACACATAAAAGCTCTATTGATAATATCAATCTCTATTTTTATTTCATTTCCTACTATTTTCATTTAGTGTGTGACAAATTCATTATATTGTTATCTAAATATGTTTAATCAATTTCCTGTAATTTCTTGTAATAATCTTTCCATGTTTCAGGTTCTACAATTTGTATTTATATCTTTCTTTTTTATTTCTTTCAATAAGTATTAATTTTTTTGCATTTTTATCCTATATTCTTATTGATTTGTATCTTTTATCTTATGTCTTTTTTAACACTATTTTAACACTTTTTTAAATTATTTATATTTATTTGGAATTATCGCATATGAAATTCATTAACAATTAACTACGTTTTTAAATTTATTGAATAGTTATGTCAAAATAGCCAATATATGTAGAGAAAATGAATAACTAACAATTTAATATATGAACAATTTTATATATAAACTATTATTATAGAATATATTAAATTATATACTTATAAAATGCACAAACAGATCCTTACTAACTAATAAGGAAATAACTATTTTACGCTATAAGAGAAATAATTTCAAATTACAACATGTAAAACAGTTCAAGTTTTTGCCCGTGAATGCATCAATTTGTGCTCAATTTAGTGGCAAATCAGAAACTCGGCAAATAAAAGTCTTCTGCTTTGAGTGATGGATATTCGAGTGTACTCGGTTAGGGTTTGTGTGTTATTATTGGGAATGTAAGATAGAGCTAAGAGCAGCTGACGATTGAATACAGTTTTTCCGAAAAATTCCCCCGGATTCTTGGCGTGTACACAATACGGCCGACGGCGCGCGTGGACACGCGACACAAAGATGTGTCGATTTTCAGTAACTTGATCTTGAGTGGCTCTCTGTTAAGTGATAGCTATAAGTGGCAGTTAAGTGCTTGTTTCACGCCAGAACGACGATACGCCTATTAATTTACTTCATTGCTTGTGAAACACAAGGGGTCATAAGTTCAATCTTGTCCACAATTACCGTTCACGATGCACATATATATAAATATATCAAATAAAGACAATGCATTATGATTATATGTCGATTAGAATTAGCTTTTTGTTTTTTTTTAATAGCAAATACAGGTTGCTTCGCTGGTATTTAAAAAATTAAATAAATGTCAAAATATAGCATTGCCATCAGCGATTAGTCTTATCGTTAAGCAATATTTTTATTAATTATTGTATATTACAATATTGTAGAGAAACTATGATTGTATTACATTATAACTTATTAAACTGATTAAAACATTATAGATCAAAGAGAAGTATTATATAGATCGAATAGAAGAGTATTGCGTTGTATTGCTTTTAAGAAGTATAAAGTTCTTTGTTTGAAATATTAATCGTATCTAAGGTATAAAATCACAAAATTCTAAATAATCTATTATTCATCATTATCAGTTAAGAATCTGATTCTCCCTGAAGAAGTGAGCTAAAATGTTCACGAAATGTTGAAATTAAACAAAAAGTCTACGCGTTTAAACCTGAAAACCAATTCCAGTAATCTATTATTTATATTTTCAATCAAAAAGAAAAAGGGATGTAGATATGGGTTCAACTGATAGATAGTTACTAAATATTGTGGTATTACTTAAATAAATTGCGTCACTGTTTTATAAGATTAGTATTTTATTCTATGGCTTATACTTTTAATAAACATACAAAAAAGAACAAACAAAGTTTCTAATGTATCCACGCATTTATACGTCTCCTTTTTTCTTAGAGTACCAACCTAAAAAGGAAGAACCTTTTTTCTGTAGGACGAAACAAAAAAAACTCATACTAAAAGAAACTAACTTAATACTAAATGTAACTACATATAAACTTTAGTTAATACTAAAGTCTACTAGTGACTTTTTACTTTAACACTAAAAATCGAAGAATCAAAATCATCGACTTACCATGAGGTGGTGTGTGTTGAGTCGGGCTGTGCTGATGATGATTCGCAGTTACAGCCGTACCAGGAAGTACGTGCTGCGCATGTGCCGCAGGATGTAGATTGACGCCGGGCGGCGATGCCGGAAGTTGGCCCGATTGATGTACCTGATGATGCGGTACATGGTGAGCCGGGTGGGGATGGGGCGGCGGTAGAAAGGCGGCCGCCACGGCCGCCTGCGCATTCAGGTAGGCCATCCTCGAGGCCGTGAGATTGCCCAGATTCCCCAGATTTCCCAGATTCCCCAGATTGCCTAAATGATTTAAGCTGGGCATGTATTCCCATAATTTCGAGTGATGAGGCGCGGCCGGGGCGTAGGAAACCGCCGAGACGCCGGCGGGCGGCGAGTCCTGCGGGGATCCGCGATCGGTCCCGCTCCTGTTTCCGGTACCATCTAGGCCCAGCAGCTCTTGAATCGCGAAAGCCGACCGTTGCTGTTGTTGCGGCATCTTCGTGTTCCTTGACTGAGAGTCCCACGAGGTTCAAAGCAACATTCTTCGCTGTTTGTTCACGGGAACCGAGTGATCTGTGTCGATCCTCGATCCACGAATTTCACGATAGGCACGTATATGAAGATACAGCAGGCGGATATTGGGTTGAAGCCGTCGGCTGACATAAATGTGCACTTTCGAAAGAACGAACTTATATATCTTAGCTTTGCGTGATTATTTGTTCCGGGTGATTATAAGGATTAGGTCTTCTAGGATCGTTGTTCGGTTTCCTCGGAAGATTCTTCCGACGTTGAAAACTTAATCGAAGATAATCGTTGTATATTTCTTGGATTCTAATTTAACTGGTATTAGTTTGTAACTTAACCACGTAAATCAGTAAATATGTTAAAAAATTCTTGCAATTTTACAATAAGTTGATGTTAGTTTCAGTAGGATTTGTTGAAAAGTTGTCAGAAAGACAACGTAATAAGATTTTTGAATCTGATAGATTCTGACATCACTCTTTGCGACGGTTGTTGTCGTTACAAGTGTGTTTCTGAAGTTAGGAAATATTTGCTTTAAGGCCGTTTAAAACTTAATTCTTTGGTGAAGTCATATTATGTGTAATTCGTGAAAGAAGGCCTAGCGATGCGTATATCTAACAAATTATAAGGTATTTTCATATATATTTATGAAAACTAAGCTTTCTTAGCGAATACAATATAACGTACTCAGCAACGACAGAATTTATAATTTATTTCGATTTAACTTTGTTATGCGTGGAAGATAATCACTAGCAAACGATCTTCCTTGTCAATGTTTCGTTGACCAGCGGCAATGAGAACAATACCGTTCCGTAAATAGAATACGAGAAAATCCTATTTATTTTTGCCCATATCGTGACAACGTACTCCTGTGTTCTCCATTTCGTTGAAATAAATATTTCGTTGTGATCAGGTACAGATTACTCTATCTGTCGTTTGTCACGACACTATTTCGTACGCGTACATATATGCGATGATTTTTCAGTGTAACTCGAAGCTTTGTCTCTTCTTTCGACATTAATATTAAACAATACACACAGAGAGTGTCGCACATAGTAGTCAAGTTTCACTCATAGAAACATGTGCAAGCTTGAACGAATCGTCCCGTGCTTTGCAAATCATTTTATTTTATTTTTAAAGAGAAAGAGAAAAAGATTTCAAAGATAACTGTTGAGATTTGACTTTTCAGATACGATTGGGATAACACCGACACATTGAAACCTATGATGGTAATTACGTCCTGAGAAGGGCGCAAACAGGACGATCCGAAAGTCAAATTTAACACTATCCCAACTGTTTTGAACGGGATTCATCGACACTCCCGATAAAAAACCCAAGTATGTCTTGGGGACATTTCTAACACAGATTATATCCAGAATCTTTCTATATGTTCATACAATCCCTAAGTTCATACAAGTCTAATGTCCATACAATCTCTCTCCCCGATGACTGATATCATGCTACTGTGTAGCGTCAAATGGGTATGTCTTCGTGGATTAGGTATCACAAAATGATTTTTTTCAGATATTCTTGAACTGTACGCGAAACCCGTAGGCGCCTTTGTTCAAGATCCAACTCTGCTGAAGTACGCCCGCGGACATTAACTTTTCTTCAATCAACACCCGATTGCGACTCCGTCATTTTCAAAGGAGGCTAATGATAAGTGAATATCGCGGCGGTAGATTGCTTCGGTATGGGTATATGGTCCCGATATAGAGCAGCGTGTTTGCCGTTCGTGGCGCAACCGTGTCGTCCTCGCGGTGTTGGGCAACTGAGCCGTCGTGCAGCGCGGGGTTGTGCTCGGCTGTGCACGACGGGCTAACGAAGAAAGGAAACCCCCCCGGGGGCGGCTGGGTACTACGAATGGGTACACGAACCCACACACGTACCCTTTGGCGCGCGTGGAGGGTGGTGTTTTGCCCCACTTGCCTGGCCCTTCTCCTCCGCCGTGCCCGCAGACTCGCTTCCCTCTCTACCTCCCCCGGATCTTTCTACCCTCCGTCCTGCGATCCCTTGCGTACCTGGGCGATAAAGGCGCCTCCGCTACTTTACGCGTCGGCAGTGGCCGTCTCGTATCGCGGATTGGTCGGCTTTTTGAGACGGCCAGCCAAGTAGACATAGCCCTAGTTACCAGCGAGAAGGTGGGGTCTAGCAACGTCGACGCCTCGACGTGGCTACGCCTACGGCGGGAGCGGTTCACCATGGAGAAAAGAGGGATTTTTCGCGCTCGGCAACAATCGTGAGATACTTGGAGAGCTCGAACGACGCGAGCCAACCGTGAATAAACACGAGCCTGGATCATGAGGTGGTAAAGTAAGAGTCAGCCTGTGACCTCTTATATTTTCCTTCAATCTTTCTTTTTATTGTCATTATCTTTATATATATACGAATTGTTATTAGTATTATTATTATTTATTAAAATTTTATCATTAATATTATTATTATTATTCTATTTGTGTGACATTTACATTTGTTATTCTATTGATTTTTTTGTGTTGTTAATATTATAGATGTACAAATAGATTTAATTAAATTATAAATTTGCAAGATCGATGATAATTTTCAATAAATGATGTTTCATTTTTACATTTAAAATTCAGTTAAAGCTGAGAAGAGAAAAATGATCATTTATCTTATACATTATAATTTTTTATATACATGATGTGCAACAATGCATCGTGCAAAGAGAAATGTCACAAATAGGATTTTAATATAATATATGATAATAATTAGGCAAATAATTTATTAATTTGTTGTTAGCGCAGATCTAATAATAGCTAGATTTATTAGATTATTTGGATTCATGATGTGATGAAATTGTTTATTTAATTAATTGACAACATGAGCTGAAAATGATGTAGATCGTATTGAATTCATTGCACTGCCATTATATCATAAGCTATCGGTATTTTCAGGTAATTACAAATATATGCTCTCTTGTTTCTATTGTTAAATAATTCATCAGTAATATTACAGAATTACGAATATCATATATTACAATAGATATTATAATAGATTTTATTTGGAAGGCACTTTCCATAAGTATCAACTATATACATAAATATACTTTAAGTATACTTTAAGTATAATCTTTTATTGCAATATTGATATTCATACTACCCTAACTTTTTTTAAAGCGTGATCTAATTTTTGTTATAATAATAACAATAATTTCATTTATTGTTTATAAATTAATTTTTATATAATTATGCTTATTTACGCAATTATAGATTAAAGTTATATTTACAGTATGTACATGTTTTAAATTTTACTAAATAATATCATCAATTATTATTGAGATACATAGAGGATACTAGATCTGGATATTTAGCATTGTTGACCTACACACATACACATACCGCATCTTGCGAAGCAACGATTGTGGCGTTGTGAAACTGGCTTTCGTTCGGAGCCTTTATTAATACTGTGGGAGTGGTCTGGGCACCGGCCAATCAGAATACGCCACTTCCAACCCTCATTGGCCAGGATACAAATCGATTTATAACTCACTCCGATGGTGAGCGAGAGCGGATACACGCCCTTAAAGCCGTTCTGCTTAAGGTCGATTCTTCTCGCAAGCTCTTCAACATCACCAATTCAATCGTAGGAAGGTGGTGAGCTTGGTGGTGATTGCTAACCAGGAAGGGATAGTGGGAAGGGTAGAAACTTCTGATCCCCGACCAGATTTCTGATAACATCAGATAATATTTTTTTCAAAAGCCTCTAATGTGCGATCAGATCCGAAATCAAAATTAAGCCATTTTTGAGAAACGAGATTTTCTCATCCTTAGCGTTATTTCTCTTTTCTTTCTTTCTACTCTTATTATTTTTATCTTCTTTATCTTCTTATCTTCTTATCCTTCTTTTACTTATATATTTATACATATATATATATATATATATATATTATATATAATAAATATTATAGAATATATTAAAATCGAATAATTTTTTAATGGCAAATTAATTAATTTAGAAATCTATTTTTGTCTTTAATGAAAAAAAATATTTATTGCAACTTTTTAATTTTTGTTCATAATATACCTATACAGCATTTTATAATACGTAAAATTTTTTAACAGTGAATGAAAGACAAAAATAATGAAAAACAGTTTTCATAAATATAAGATGTTCTGTATCTAGTGAATCATTGACATTCACAGTAGATTTCGGGTGTCATTTAGAGACATTTCCTCAGCAAAAATATCAAGGCACTAATAATTTTTAAATTAGACATATGCGATTGAAAACAAAGGGTTTTTCGTAAACTAAGTCTTGTGGAAATAAAATATTAACAAAACCGCATTCAGTTAATTTCAGAAAGAGTTAATAGAATTTTAATTTAAAGCTCAACAAAGATACATGATAGTAAAATGAGTGTTTTTTAAAAAATTTTTTAATTGCTTATATAATTTAAAAATAATTGATTTTTTGACAGTTTTTTCGAAGGAAAAATTTATTCTAAAGAAAAATCTATTAACTGATAACTAATGTATAGGGTGTTTAACGATTAAACGTTCTAACTTAAAATATAAATTTAAATTTTTAAATGTAACAATATGTCAAAATAAATTACAAAATATTTTATTTATTATTAATTCTTTAATAATTTTATCTTAATACTCTTATATGAATAAAAGAATTGCTGTAATATCATGGAACATTATATGGCTTAATTTAAAAAGTGATTTTAAAACTACACTTGACACTTCCTTATCTATATCAATTATTTTGATTAAATTATTTCCCTCTTGTAAAATACTATAAGAAGTAAAATATTAAACTTAATTTAATTTTTAAAATATTTGATTCTATTGATTATTGTATATATACGTATGTATGTGTGGAAGAATAAAAGGACACACGTCTATATTATTTTTATTATTATAATTATTACATATTTTTTTATGTATTACAGTTTTTAGTTTTAAATTTATTATACTTATACATGTAAAAAATCATATTTAATAAATAAATTATAATTAATTAATTATAATAAGTAATAACAATATATAAATTATACTAGTTTATATAATAATCAAGATATAACATTTTTTCGAAATTAATGATGACAGAGTATAAAGTAATATTTAGGTTGCCTTAAATTGTAACACATATGTGGAAGGTCGACATTCTATTCCTTGATGATATTCAAGCACAGTATTTAACGTATACGTAAATGGTTACAGAAAACCTATTTTAAAGCAGCACAATAGCAAAAAGTGAGTGAAGTGAGTAAATAGAGAGGAATTCTGCAAGCTTCTTTACAATCCCAAAGAGTTATCTCGCGCTTTGTTTCGTTGAAAAATCTCCGACTTACCTTTTTCTTTTTTTTCATTCCCTCGGTTCCTAAGAAAGGCATGTACAGAAAAGAACTGGACTTTTCTTCGCGATCTTTTTTTATTTTGTTACTAGCAGCAAAAAATTATTGTATACTTTGCGCTGCATATTTGTATTTGTGAAAGCGCTAACTCCGTGATAGGAGTTAAAGAGAAGAGAGAGAGAGAGAGAGAGAGAGAGAGAGCGAGAGAGAGAGAGAGAGAGAGAGAGAGAGGGAGCTTCCGCTTTTGACGTGTCGCTGGTTAGGAAGCTATTGCAGCTACTACTTGAATATATGAATGTACCTTTAGTACTTTGACATATTGCAGTTTATACATATATATTCATGTTATAATTAAAATTTTATATTTTTAATTATAGAAAAAATTCTGCGATGTGTAATGTTAATTAAAAAAAAAAGATAAAATTATCTGTACAGTTTATAATTAATTTAATTACGAATTAATAGCAATCTTAATATATAGTAATGTTTCAAGCGTCTTATATTTTAAATTCTAAAATGACATTTTTAAAATATTGCGATTAATTTTATACATCTTGACAGCATTTGGCTTGAATTTCCTGTCGTTTAGAGTAAATTGTTCTGCTATCATAATTAGATAAATTAACAGACCGTGGGCGGAAGCATCGTGCTCGCACGGAACGTGGAACTATATATTTAGTGAAATGAAAGAAGAATCCAGTTAGCTTAAATCTATTATCGCCGCCTAATTTATGAATTGAATAAGATATAATTATGAAGTAATATTCTTAATTATAATAATTAATAATAATAATTGACTTTTGCAGTTAATAAAATGACAATTACTTTTTTCAAAAAATATATATTTTCTTGTTTCGATATTATTCAATATTTTTAAAGAATCTACAAAAATTTTATTAATCTGCGCAAAAATTATTAATTATTTAATTAATTAATATACATTGTGTGGTCATGTATAATTAATATCATTTAATGCATAGATACCAAAAAAAGTATCCAAACAAATATAAAAATTGACTTTATGTTGCGGTTGTGTATCATTAAATAATTTTGGATATCTAATATTTATTTAATTAAGTTATTATTTTTTGAAACAACTGTTTCTCTTTAAAATTGTATATTATCGCAGTTGTTAAGATTTAAAGCAGAAAACATTCAATTTAAATTGTATCAGTAATTTCTTTTAAATTGCATTTGAAATCTCTAGGCAGTTGTTCGATCCGCATTACGTTGTTTTCAGTAAATCCTATAAAAATTCTATAAGAATTACATATATACATATACATATATAATGAATGTATAATGTAACGAATATTGAAGTAAAAGTCAGATGCTTGTGTATAATCCTACTGAAGGAAGTTTAAACTTTAAAAGAGCACAATTTGTGATATGGAAAAGATGATCTGTATTGCATGATATATACATGCATATATTG